TTGAAAATTGCATAGAATTCTTAACTCTCTGTTTGGATGGAGGATAATAACTCGAACTTTAGCTAAAAGTTGTGAATTTATATTTCCATTGTTTGGCAACTTAAGCAAGGAACTTATTAAATGATGGGTAGAAAAATCGTGGAAATTGTAATTATGTTTTAATTATTATTTATTTATTAGTAAATAATTAATGTTTAAATATTTTGAAATTTTCATAAATTACTTAGTAAATAATAGTTAATAATTTTAAATTATTATGTGCACTTTTTATTTTTTATTTTTATACAAAATTAGTTTGTTTAGTTTAATATTTGCAATTAAGTGTGCATTTACCAACCATTTAGAAACTTATTATTGTACCAACAACACTTTTAACAAACAGTTTACCAAACGCCAAAAGGCTTTCTTTCACAGCAAATCTAACAAATATTATTTTCATAACACAATAATGTCAAACTAGCCATAAGTAATATCTTAGCCTTATTCAATTATATTATTTAGTAATTATTTAGTAATTATTTTTTTTAATGAATAATTAGTATTTAAGTACTTTAATTAATTTAATAAATTACTTAATTAATACTAACTAATTATATTTACTTATCTTAAATAATTTTAAGGAACTTATAATTATTTTTAAATTTTGATTATATTTTAAAAATAGTTTGAATTATTTAAGAATCCTATAAAATTCTTTTAGTATTCCAAAAATGAATTTTAGCCTCCAAGCCCTTAATCCAAGTCTCGAACCAAATGAGAGTCATTTTCATATTTTTTATTTTATTTAATAGTATAGCCGTCTGGCTATACAATAGTTTTTTTAAAAGTATAGCAACACGGCTATACTACATTTTTTATAAATAAAAAAAGGTATAGTCGGATGGAATTGAGGACTCTGACCGATCTCCTAGTCTTGAGGCTATTGACTTGGTTGATACAGCACTGTCTCCATGCAGAACTCGCCATAATAAAGTGGATGTTATTGGTCGTTTGGAGGCACAAAATAAAATCCTCGGTTCTATGTAGTTGGAAATTCAGCATGCAAGTCATGGTTCCTCTTTAGTGCGATATGATGGTGATCAAAGTGAAAGGATAAACAGGGAAAGCGTTGATGTTGCGACCACTGTTGTATGCAACGATGAAACTCTAGCGATAGTTAAAATTCCTGTTAATATGTGTGAGGAGCCTAAGGGAGAAGTAGACCCCACCACCAATAATCTAGCAACTATTCTAGGTATGATGCCCTCAACAGATGAGTGCTTGTGGTGGAGGACGGCCCTCATTATGATCCTTTCCATACTTTGCCTATCGTACAACGCACCTCTAGTTTGGGCAAAAAGAGAGGTCATGGCCATCCGAAAAAGTGGGACACTTCCCTAAAAAGGCGTACTTAACTAACTAAGGTTAAGTCCGATTACGACGTACTAACCCTAGGTCGAGTTGCGTGAGCATCCAAGCCTAATCGAGTAATAAGTGCCCTAAAGTAGGCTCACGGTTGGGGTTCGAGGCTTGAGAATGGTTTTGGAACTGGTGCGAAAGCTAGGGTTTTTGGTTCGTGACTTGGATTTAGGGAGTCTAAAATTCGCGTTTTGGATACTAAAAATAATTTTATAGAATTTTTAGATAATTGAAACTATTTTTAAAATAATTTCAAAAATGAAAAATAATGTTAAAGTCCACAAAATTATTTAAGATAAGATATTACTTAATTACAAATATTAAACTAAATAAACTAATTTGATATATATATTTTTTTTAAGTCCACAAAATAATTAGTTACTACTTATCAACTCATTTAAGAAATTAATTAAATACAAATTCTTCACTAAATATGTAACATCCCTACCCAAAATATCTTTATCCGTTAATTTAATTAATTTATTAAGTTGTGAAATTATAATTTTGCCCCCGGGAAGGGTAATTCGGTTACTTTTTAATCCAGAAGGATTTTGGCAAAACGACTAGTACCATTAGGTATATTGTGCCGAGATGAGTCCATAAACAAGTGGTGGGGCAAAACTGTAATTTTATCGAAGTTGGTTTTCAAAACCTGAAAATCTCAATCTCTCTCTCTCTTTAAAAAAAAATTTTAATTTAAAACTGAGTATCGCTGTGCGGCTATACTATTTTTTAATATAAAAAAGAGGACCCCCCGCCATTAGGCGCCACGTGTCAACACATGTCTTTTATAAAAATAAAAAAATAAAAAAACATGGCACCGTGCGACTGTACTAGTTTTTTTTTAGTTTTTTTTACAAAGAAGAACCTCTATCGACTAAAGCCACATGTCAAAAATAAGTATAGCCCCCTGACGATACTATTTTCTAAAGGAAAAACAGAGAAGCCTCACTGTGTCAAAATCGTATAGCCACAAAAAAAAAAAAAAAAAAAAAAAAAAAAAAAAAAAAAAAAATAACTGAGGGTATATATTTTTATTTAAAAAATAGGACCCTCAGCCAATAGGCGCTACGTGTCAAGACATGTCTTTTATAAAAAAATTTTAAAACATGGAGTATCGCCGTTCGGCTATACTCCTTTTATTTTATTTTATTTGTAAAGAAGAACCTCTATCAATTAAAGCCATATGTCAAAAAATAAGTATAGCCACCCAACTATACTATTTAATTAAAAAATTAATAATAAAAAAGGACCATCCTAGTTACATTAGTTTGTATCTTATAGATATTAATTTGCAACGTATCCAAGCTAGATAGTAATCTTCCACTATATGATATTTTAATATAATTTTTATAACACATCTTATTCTTATTAAATAATATGTGGGAATTATTTGTATAATACTTGAATTTTGTGTCTTACTGAAAATTTTGTTGAAAATGCGTGTATAAAACATTAGAAATGCGTACATACATTTGCAATACGAATATTGTATGTTTGCTTTTTAAAGAAAACGTGAGACGTGTATAGAACACGAATGTATTGTTGAAAAAATACGTACGGAAATATATATATATATATATATGCATACATATGTAAAAGACTATAACCACTCATATATACTATTTATTAAAGACAATTTTTTATATAAAAAAACACCATTAATGCTGCCCTGCTATACTATTTTTTTATTAAAAAAAATTAGAAAAAAAAATCAAGTCTAACCGCACGGCTATAATATATTCTGAAGAAAAAAAGACCAGTCCCATTGCGTGAAAATCGTATAGCCGCACGGCTATACATTTAAAAATAAAAATAAAACTGAGTTTAATATAAAAAAGACCCCCCCCCCCCCCCCCCCCCCCCCCCCCCCCCCCCCCCCCCAACTAGTAGGGCCACATGATGTGTTTTAAAAAAAAATTTGAAAAAAATTCGAATATAGCCGAACGGCTATACTATTTTCTGACGAAAAAAACAGCTGTTCTGCCGTGTGAAAATAGTCTGGCCGTACGGATAAACTCTGTTTTAAAAGCCGAACGGTTATACTGTTTTTAAAAAATTTAAAACTCAGTCTAGCCGTACGGCTATACTATTTTTAATATAAAAAAGAGGACCCCCCAAGCCATTAGAGGCCACGTATCAACACATGTCTTTTTAAAAAAATTAAAAACGCGGTGTATAGCCGTCTGGCTGTACTTAAAAAAAAAATTATATATAAAGAAGAACGTCTAACAATTAAAGCCCCGTGTCAAAAAAAATAAGTATAGCCGCCGGCTATACTATTTAATTGAAAAATTAATAATAAAAAAGGACTCTCCTAGTTGCATTAGTTTGTACTTTATAGATATTAATTTGCGACATATTCAAAGTAGATATTAATATTCCACTATATGATATTTTAATATAATTTTTATAACGTATCTTATTCGTATTCAATAATATGTGAGAATTATTTGTATAGTACTTGAATTTTGTCTCTTACTGAACATTTTGTTGAAAATACATGTATAAAACATTAGAAATACATACATACAAGTACAATACGACTATTGTATGTTTGTTTTTTTAAAGAAAACGTGAGACGTGCATAGAACACAAATGTATTGTTGAAAAATACGTACCTACATATATATACATATGTATACATATGTAAAAGACTATAGCCGCTCGTCTATACTATTTATTAAAGACATTTAAAAAACATAAAAACCACTAACGCTGCCCTGCCATACTATTTTTTGAAAAAAATTCGAAAACAAATCAAGTAGAGCCGCACGGCTATACTATTTTCTAAAGAAAAAACAGAGCAGCCCACTGTCTGAAAATAGTTTCTTACTCTTTTTTACGCCAACTTCTTTAGTTTTAATATATGAAATTAAGTAATATCTTAGCTTTTTTCATAATTATATTAATTAGTAATTATGTTATAATTAATATTTAAATATTTTACTAATTTCATAAATTATTTTGTGGACTTTGTTTTTTTAATTTCTTTTGCTACTAAATTAGTCTTAAACTTATTTAATTATATTAATTAGTAATTACGTATTTTTCAAGTTTTTTGTTCATTAAATTTTTTTTTTAATGCATTTTCATTTTAAACTTTTCAAAAATATTTTTTTTACCCTAGCCACGTGTCACAATGTCATGGGAGATGTAGGACACCACTTATCTTCCACGTCATCAATTTAACTGATTTTCTAATGGTCGGGAGAATTTTGATGTATATAGGGTAACATTAGGTACTATTAATGTCACACACAAAAACTTAAGGACGAAATGAGATTATTTCACGATCCTCAAGGACCGTTTGTGATAAAAATTCTTATTTTAATGAGATAAACAAAAGATGTGTTTTTCTTTTAGCACTAGCTTTCTATGAACCACCGTACAAAACATTGTTCAATTTTGTACTGAGGTTATCAGGAAGATAACCTATACGAACCAGAATTTATTTTTGAATCAGTTATAAATCGCATAAGTCAAATATTGTTCGTAATAAGGCTCTAGTGCCGTTATAGGCTGAGGTCATATTGCCATCCAAACTAGAGCAAAAATGTTCTTATTATTTCAAGAAGCAATTTATGAAATTCAGCAACACTTCAGTAAACAGTCATGTTTTCCGCCTCATGCCTAACGGAATCAAAGAGCACTGAAGACAAATAACGCTCTCCGAAGCTGGGGAACACAGCCTGCAGAAGCCACAAATGAATGGAGAAGTTAATGGAGTGTTTTGTTGAGCAAAATGCAGTTCATCGGATAACAATTCTAAGCCAATGCAGTACAGATATTCTATTTCAATTTAAAAACGCAATTAGTCTTACAACAATGAGTTTTCCAGCATTTTCCTGCTTCTTGGCCAGCTTTATTGCTGCTGCTGCTGCTGCACCAGATGAAATCCCCACCTGCAAAATATTTGCTCTGACAATCAGCATCATAGATGGAAAGAAATGGAGAGTAACAAACTCATAGAACCACCATAACACTAAATGTCATTTCAACTAACTGATGCCATACCAGAAGACCTTCTTTCAGGGCAAGCAGCTTAGTGGTGTCAATAGCTTCTTCACTGGTTACCTAAAGTGTTACAGAAACATGATCAGTCAAGTTGATGCTTAGCACAATCGTATATACGCTTAGCACAATGATACCGTACTGCTAATAAATGTTTTTCTTGTATTGAAGGCATATATGATTTAGTTTCTATATTATAATACTGCTACAAACTGTTCACATCAAAATGCAACAAGAACTTGTACAATTAAGAGCAAGTCGATAATTTCACATGTAAAATCAAATTTTCATTATCAGAAAAATTCATTAAAAATGTGTAAATTCAATTTGAACTGCAGTAAATAAGTTCAAGACTTACTTGAATAACTTCATTGAGCAAGCTTACATCCAGAACTTGAGGTATGATACCAGCACCAATTCCTTGGATCAGATGCTTCCCTTTGAAATAAGTGTGCATATTATGTATCCAGATGAGCATCAGTCAACATAGGAGAATGAAGTCTCAAATACTGTCGAATTGTAATTTCATGCTGTTGAAATCCACGTATTGCACCACTTAAAAGAAACAAACTATCATAAAATACTTTGGATTTAACATCCTAATGACATCAACTTAACTTCTTGCTTTTGTTTTTTCGGCAGGATGACAAGTGATAACCAGAAAAACTTAGCACCTGCTTCATGATGTTCTGTTGTAACTTGTAATATGTTTTACAAGAAAAAGAATTTCACAAGCACACAAGAAAGAGGTAGTGCAGAGACACAGGCATTGTAATAACTCACCAGGTAGGCCACCATTTAAGACTGCACTTTCCACTGGTTCTACACCGTACACCTAGACATTAACCATACCATTAGACCATGTATACTGTAATGACTCTCTCTCTCTCTCTCTCTCTCTCTCTCTCTCACACACACACACACACACACATATATTGTATATTACACACACAAAACTCAACCTTGATCTCTGGATTTTGCTCTTTAAGAAATCTCCCAGTACCAGTTACGGTACCCCCAGTCCCTATCCCTGAAACCAGGGCATCAACCTTCCCTCCTGAGTCTCTCCATATCTCCGGGCCAGTGGTTTCGTAATGAACCTACACAAAGTATTACAAAATTATTCATAAATCCTTTCAACCATGTAGCCACGTCACATATACGGCAAAAATACCTTCGGATTGGCAGGATTTTCAAATTGCTGAAGCATATAACTATTAGGTGTGCTGCTTAGCAACTCCTCAGCCTTATCAAGAACTCCCTTAATGCCTTTGGCAGGATCTGTGAGGTACACCTCAGCTCCAAAAGCTAGGAGCACAATTCTTCTCTCAAGACTCATTGAAGATGGCATTGTTATCTTAAGCTTGTAACCCTTGCTTGCTGCAATGAATGCCAATCCAATGCCAGTGTTGCCACTTGTGGGCTCAACAAGAACAGTCTTCAGTGCCAATTAATTATGCATATCAAGAACCCAAGCAAGTTAGTTAGTTGAAACTTGAAATACTCCACGTTTCTGATGATATAAGTGGAAATTCCCTTACATAGTCAAACTTGATATCCTTAAAATAACAGAAAAGGAAGAAGAAACTTTATGTATAGATTTAGTATGCTGAAGCCTACTTGAAGGTGTAATGGATAATCTGAACATGTTTTTCTGCAAAATATGCATTACAAACTAAATAAACATCTATAGATATGGCGAATATTTGTTTCGAACCTTCCCTGGCGAAATTAGACCTTTATCCTCTGCGTCCTTGATCATACTAAATGCAATCCTGCATATAAAAAATTATTTAAGACCAAATGAGTATATTAATCTCTGAGTCCAGATTCTATATCCCTTACTTTCTAGATCCTTTTTATACTAGGAAAATCAAAACCAATATTCCTGAGGAAAAACTAACAAAAAATATGCCTGTCTTTCACACTAGAGCAGGGTTCCATTGATTCTAGCTTGGCAGCAATTCGGGCTACGCAACCATCCACAACATTGTTGAGATATACCAACGGGGTATTTCCAATTAACTGCATGAATCGAGAAGACAGAGAGAGCAAATCATAAGCCAAAGTAAAATATTTATAATCATTAAAATAAATAACAAATAAAAAACCTGATAAATGAAAAAGAGGCTAAGCATCATTGAATGCGTAAGTTTCATGAAGAAATATTACTTCTGTGACATCTCTCCTGATTGCGCACTTGTCTTCCATGTTATCTTTTCTGGCAGCAAGCTGATAATAAAGATATGAAAGAGTGAAAACAAACTCTGAAGAAGCGCATTGCCATTAAGCTATTTGAAAAGCCAAGTCTGATATAATGCATAAATCCTAACAAGGACATCATTTGCCTGAAATAACATCCAAGATAGCTATTTTTACATTCAATACTGTACAGTGTATACAGGTACAACAGCGTTTAGTAAAACGTGGCTTCATACATCCATACACAAATGAAAATTATAACTCTGAAGTGAAAACAAGTAAAAACAAACCAACCCAACAGAATCAGAAGACCTTGGACATCATAATCAGACCTTGGAAATAGAAAAAGAGTAGTCAACAGAATCAGAAGACGCCAAATATGCAGATGATTCACATCAATTATGAACGGTCGGAAACCAGCCAAAAAAATATAAACAGAGATCAAAGAAGTATCACAAGAAGGTTTTCAAAAGAGTGAACCAAAAAGGCAGTACTTTTACCCAAAATTGTTCAGAATCAATACTCACGCAAAGCAGTCTTATGAAAAAGGTTTCAGTTACCCAATATTGAATGCAGTCCCAAAGAACAAGCCTTTTGACCAAACCACCGATAGCCCAAAAGTCAAAGTTTTTTCAAAGCCAATTATTAATTTAATGACCATAAACATAGCACCAGACAGATTAATAGTTTAGAACTGTATCCAATATTAACAAGCTGATTTTCAAAATTTGAAGCACTGGTAATGAAATTTTTTACACCAGCTGTTGACCAAGAACAAAACTCTGCAGAATTTCAGGAACAGTTACAAGTGAAATACCAAGTAATGGAAATCAAATAAGAACCACCAAGAAAGTACAACAGAGCAAACCTTATCTCTGCAGGGAAGGTAGAGAAGAAAGAAAGCAGTTTTCAATGCAAATATTGTATTGTATTTTGTTTCAGTGAGAGAAATGCTAACTACTGGTTTAGAATGTCTATTTCTCAAGTTTGGCTCTTTGCACTTCCATGAGGCACATATGGGAGTCATTTTGGTTTTTTTTATGTAAGTATTTTATTTTTATTTTTATTTTTATTGACAATACTTCCCTCCTTACCCATGAGGAGGGACTCCTCTTTATCTTATATTATGACTCAACCACAAAGTAATGTGTCCTCTATGATTTCCCCACTCCAATTTTATTCACTTACACTTCATTTTATATAAAATGAAGTGTAAGTGAATAAAATTGGAGTGGGGAAATCACCACTCTTTTTTAATTGCCAACTTCTTCATTTTTTCACTTTTACTGAACCACTAACTTTTTACCAAAATAGAAGAGAACAAAAAATCCCATTGTTCTTATTTTCTCACTTGGTAACATGATGATGTATTTTTTTAAAAACCTCCATAAACTATGTCTACAAATGTTGTCAATGACAACTTTGGTTGTACAGGGATTATTAAAGTTAGAGTTGAAAAGGGCCACAAAGACTTAAAATTTTAATTGAGTAAATTATTATTTTTAAAATAGTTGAAAAAAATCAAAGTGAAAAAAAAAAATATATATATATTTAGTAATACACTCATTCTTAGCACTAATAATATAGATAAATCCTACACCATTTAATTTTTATAAACAAACCCAAAAAAACTCAAAAATTGACAGCTGACCTTATTAAATTACTTTGATGTCATATCGAGTGTTTTGTGTTTTTTTTATGAGGTTTTGGGGTTTGAGCTTATTTTAAGAAATGAATGGCAGTTTTATAATTTATAATAAATTAAAAGTCTATTTGTTATGTTGTAAATGAACTTTGAGTGTGTTTCTAAAGTCCATTTCATAGAGGTTTTTTAATAATTTGAGCCCCTATATTGAGTATAATAGTGAATCTTCCAAAAAAATCATGGGAATTTTTTTCTTTTCTTGTTTTGGTAAAAAAGTTATGGGTGCAATAAAAGTAAAAAAGAAGCTGTCTTGAAAAAAGAGAAAATACATGTTATTTTGTGGTAGAGTCACAATAAAAGGAAAAAAGAGACATGGCAAATTTCACTGAGAGAAATGAACGAAGAAAATAAAAACGGGTCAACATCTAATTAAGATTTGATCGTTGCATTACCGTGAGATGCCCAAAGACTCACAGATATTTATTTGTGTCTCTTAATACCTCTCGATGTGTTTTTTTTTTTTTTTTTTTTTTTTTTTTCTTTCTGGTCGATCTCTCGAGATGTGTGTAAATAAAGTGAATTGTAGAGATGCTTTTGTCTTCACACAAACTGCTAACCATGGCTCAGCTGCTACGTGCATCTTCATGATTGGTTTTGGTTCATTACAATAAAACAGTTGACGTGAAAATATTAATTGTTTTGTGACAGCAATTGTGAATCACATACTGATTTTGCAGAAAAAGGTTTACAAAACAAAATGAGCCCAAAAACGAACTATGAGAGTTTGCTTTTGTTTTATGTTTCTAAGAGCGGTCTGATCCCTATCTAATATTGATTTTCAAGAATACAAGATGAGCCCAGAAAACGATTCTTTTGAAAGGTCATATCTTGACCCATTCAAGCCATGAAAGTGCCCTTTTTTGTTTATATTGAGAAGTTCAAACACAGGTTGTACTGTTGTCGTTAGTTTGTTCATATGCAAGCCTGCGTCCCTCTCCCTGACCTCATCTTGTATTCTTGAAAATCACAAAACAATCTTTAGTATGTACAAATTATGCCGTTCTCATTCCTCGTTTCATAAATCTCTAAGCTGACATCTAATAATTCATGCAAGAAATGTACAAAGAAAAATGCAAACTAACAGAGGAAAAGATCTACAGCTTGAAGGGTAAGAAAAAGAAGTGAAAAATAGAAAGTCACTAGCCTGCTGGAAGGGACACAAGTTGTAATTATTAATAAAACTTGCTTTGCAGAGCAATTAGTGAAACCAGGGAACTTGCTTTGCAATACTACTAGCACAATTAGTAAAACCAATATGCTTGTACTTGTCCCACATCGCCCAAGTAAAGTCTGGAGAGTTGAGGTGAGCGCGTATAAATACAGAAGGATGAGGATGTTGGAACATACTTACCTGGACAGGGTCTCTGGGTGATCAAGAAGGCCCATGGCCTAGGTTGGTGACCTCCATTGCACTTAGGAGGGGTGCCTGCCTGTGGTCTCCTCAAGTAGGAGAGCCAATGTCATAATTTGTTGCTGTGGGGGCTTGCGTACGCGCAGCCCCTGCCTAAAGTTCAGTGCAATATTTTGTAAAAGGCAGTAATTCTCGTGCCAATCTGATACCCAAATGTAATTTTCATTCTCAAGGGGTTAGGTTCGTCCTGGCCAATTATAATTAATAGGTAAAGTTCGTTGCTATAAAGAATTGTGAGACTTTGGTCTGGTGCTTGATTCTTCCTAGCCAATTATAATTTGTAAAGTTTGTTGTAAGTTTCTATCAGAAGACTTTGGCTCTGGTGTTAGTGACGGTAGTGAGCCCGCCCTTTTGCACTCGAATACTCTGGTGTTGATATTGAGAGGGGTGAGGCTGGTTATCCATTTCCTTTGCAGCTTGGTGAGCAAATTGCTATTCTTGCTTTAAATGGCTGCGCACAGTAAGTAAAGAAACATCCCCCTTTTCTGGCTTTGATATAAATAAATAAAAAGGACAACTTAAGCAATTGATGAACTGAGTTCAGCTAGCTTCACTTGCTCAAGCACCATCCTTCATTTCTTATAGAAATTTCAAGTTTTGAAATCTTGCTTTTTCGTCTATGTGGAATATCATAGTTAGAGGCTTAGAACTTAATACTGGGCAACCGATGCAAGTATTGGTTTTGCAGGTTAAAAATTGGGAACAAAGCTAAAAAGTTAAGGCTGCAGCATCAATCTCAAGCTCTTCATTTTCAACAAATTTGATGAAGCACAAGGACCATAAAATAATGGGGTAATGAATTAGGGAGTGCCAGAAATCCTTGGTTGGGTCGAATGTCCCACATTGGAAACGTACAGAAGGTGGAGATAAGTGTTGGGGGATAAATACAAAACTAAGGACCACGTTAAAAATTACATACCTGGACGGGGTCTATGGGTGATCAAAAAGGCCCATGGCCTAGGTGGGTGGCTTCCATTGCACTTTGGAGGTGCACTTGCCTAACATCTCCCTAGAGGAGACTGTACGTCGTAATTTGTGGTAGTGGGGCTGTGTACGCGCGGCCCTCCTAAATTATATTTTCTAAATTTTCTTTCTTTCTTTTATGTCTATTTCATCTTGTATGGGAGTAATTTTGGATCTCCAAAAAATGATTTTAAGTAGATTTGGCAATATTGTACATGACTCGTTTAACATGACAAGAATTCGCATGAAAATTTTAGTCTTCGGGTCCGAGTTATCATGTCGTGTTGACCCGTGGGCCACATGTTAAGCTAATAGGTCGTGTCGTGTAAATTTGTAAATATCTGTTAACCCGTTAACCTTAAGGGCTTTTTTGTAAATTTATATATATATATATTTTCTCCTCATCTTTCTTCTCTTCCTCCCCCATTCCCCAGACTCTCCCACTGTCTTTTTCTATAAGTTTCTTCTTTTTTCTTTATTTTTCTCATAAACCAAACATAGCTTTCTTTTATGTTCTTCTATCTCATTGTGCCACGCTCTCTCTCCTCCTCCTTCGTCGAACCCTCTCTCACTAGTTGTGTCATTAAGGGAGGTTTATGGATTGGGGAAAGAGGAGAGAAATAGGAATAGGGGGCCTGCGCGGTAGTTTTGGTTTTGGTTTGATTTTATTTTATTTTTTAATTTGTTTTTAATTCTCAACGGGTGAAACGGGTCGTGTCACCCATGATGTAATGTGGCAAATGAAAAATAATGAATGTAGTTGTGAGTCATTTTCCAATTTCCTTGTTTATTTTGTTACATATTAATTAGTGAAAAAACAAGTTTATGCTTTGAGTCTATATAAACTATAAAGCTAATATTTGATTATTTCGAGTTCTGAATTTGAGGATAATTCTATTGAGTTGATTGATTTTGTTATCTGTTATGCGTAGTATATATAAAATATAAAGATAATAATTGACTGTTATAAATTTAGGAATATAATTGAGAAAAAAAAAAAAAAAAAAAAAAAAAAAAAAAAAAAAATATTCAATTTCAATTCGTTGAATTGGTCAATCTTTGACTCATCAAAGTCATAGTGTACCAAAAAATAATATAAGCGTAACTTTGGAGCATATAGAAGAACACCGCTCGTCAAGAAAGCAAGTAGTAATGCAGGAGAACTCTGTGTAACTCTATCATCCCATATTAGATCTCATTCCTGGTGGTTCAGTTAAGGCCTATTATTTGTATCCTATACAAGATCTCAATGTGGAGATTAGGGCGGGGTTGAGTCTCAGCTTGCATATAGGATAGGAGGGGGTCAATATTTGCAAGGATCCCACATCGATAAAAGAACAGTTAAGAGACCAGAGGACGAGCTATAACTAACGACTAAGGAGCAACTTTACAACATACTTACCTGGACGGGGTCAATGGGCGATCAGGAAGACTCATGGCCTAAGTTGGTGACCTCCATTGCACTTAGGAGGGGTGCTAGCTTAAGGTCTCCCCAAGTGGGAGAGCCTACGTCATAATTTATTGCAACGGGGGCTTGCGTTCGCGCAGCCCCTGCTCAAAGATAATCCCAAGCTTTTTAAAACTTCTTTCAATTGATTAAATAGATTATTTTATTCCGACGTAATTGCCTTAATTTTGTAAATTTTCACAACCTTGGAGTTGTATGTGAATTTGATAATTTTCACTTTGATTTTATGGAATTTGAAGGTTTCATGAAATTATGATCTGAAGACTGCTTTGATTATACAGGCAATAGATAAGCAGAGAGAGGGCACAGCGACTACGAATTCTGGAGAAAGAAGACAGCAACTAAGAAATCTGGTTTGAAGATTTATGGTCTTAAGAACAATGTACACCATAAAAACCAAACCTTTATGTGCGGTGTTTGAACCATGCGTTTTCTCACCCTTGATATACTTTGCCAAAAAAGAAAGGAAAACTTAAGAGATTTATTATATATTGGGTCGAAGAATATTGTCTCTGTTTGATCGATACTCAGTGCCAGAGCAATAAGAAACATGGAGCAGTGCCCATGTATTTTGGGACATAGGAAACTGCGGTAATTTTAACTTGGTTGTCCCACATCGATGAACAAGAGAAACAAATGGTATGCGCGTAGTATAAATGAGGAAGAGGTGGTGCCTTTAAAACATACTTACCTGGACGGGGTCAATGGGCGATCAATAAGGCTCATGGCCTAGGTTGGTGGCCTCCATTGCACTTAGGAGGGGTGCCTGCCTATGGTCTCCTCACTGTAGGAGAGCCAACGTCATAATTTGTTGCCGTGGGGGCCTGCGTACGCGCGGCCCCTGTCAATTCTATAGACAAACTTTCTTGCAAGTTCTCAACGTAAAAGGCCCATTAGCAAATTATTCATAAAAAAGGTAGGTCTCACATTATTGACTAAATAAAGGGGCTAAACCCAAAAAATAATGAGTCCAAAGTTGCATTAGTTTCTGCTGTTATATTTACTTCGTCTCTGATTTCTCATTGATTTTTGCTGCAGCTGCTCCTGAATCCCACAAACTAATTGCTGCTGTTAAGGCAAATTGTTGAGGTTAAATGCGTTTATGATGTCAGCGGACAGAGCTTTTGATGTGCTGCAACTAAATCACACCCAGAATATCATTCATTGTGAAATTCACTCGAGTCACATCAGCAGCTGTATTTGTCAATTATATTGTAGCCGGGGGCACCTAAACCTACAAAATTCTTATTTATGAGACTATTTTTTAGAACATTTTCTGTTGAGAGGGGCAATAATATATTAAACTCATATACACTACACGGAAGTTATGACCCGAACCCAAGACATTGCCTAGCGGAGCAATTGCTCCAAACTACTAATCTAGTGGGGCTTTGTTGATATATGAGACTATATATGACCAGTTTCCCTTCTTATTTTCTTTATTATTTTGTGTTGGACATTGGAGGAGAAAACCTGCAACTTTTCATTGCTAAGGTTTTACTTTTCGTATATGCTCCTTAATATTTTACTTATAACCCTAACACTCAATATTTCAAAAAGGGAAAAAAGATTTAAGTGTTTCTCTAGATTAATTAAGTTTGTCAAATCGTATGTCTCTAGTACTTTTTTCCAGCATTTTAGCCACTAGCTTCAAGTACCACATTGGAAATGCACAAAAAGTGGAAAGCGGGATTGGTGTATTAAAGAGGAACAAGGGGCACTTTGAAACATACTTACCTGGACGAGGTCTATGGGCGATCAAGAAGGCTCATGGCCTAGGTTGGTGACCTCCATTGCACTTAGGAGGGGTGCCCGCCTATGGTCTCCTCAATGTTGGAGAGCCAACGTCATAATTTGTTGTAGTTGGGGCCTGTGTTCGCGCGGCCCCTGCCTCAATTCAGTATCAACTTTCAGCTGCTGGCTAGAAAAATAGGCTCATCCCTCATTTTACCTTTTTGTCTGGTATAATATATCCATTCAGAATTTATTCTAAATCAGTATGTTTCCATCCATTACTTTGCTTCCTCAAGTTGATTTTACTTTTGTCGGTTAGTTTAATATAAATACTAAGTCCAATAAATATTAATTTATCCCTTCAATTCTGCAGTGACATGCAAAAATAATTTTTAGTAAAATTCAACTGGACCTTTTCTGTTAACCATCCATAAATTGCTTCATTGATACCAATCCTTGCATAATATTTATGAGAAAATGCTGCTAATTTTCTTAAAACACATCATACCAACTTGAATAATCTCACAAGGATGTAAAGGTTCTTGAATTAGTAAGCCATACAAACTGTTTTCAAATTCTATTACAAACAGAAAAGGCAGCACTTTATTCTTCATAGCATTTATTGAGACTCATGTCAAGAAGCAAAAGCAGTCAAAGCGAAAACACGGCGCAGCTTGATAATCATACTCTCTGCCTCGCAAATCATGAAATTTGTACAGTTCCTTTCGAAGCTACAGAACATCTCAGGGCTCGAAAACCATATTCTCAGCCTCCCGCTTCACAGATTCGAACAACACAGAGGATAGATAACGCTCTCCAAAGCTGGGGAAGACCACCTGTACACATTTAGGAATGAAAAGGTGATCCGGTCAATCTTAAGGGATAGTACCATTCCTGTCAATTTGTGCAAACTATGCAGGAAACATACTTAAACAACAAGCTCAGTGGTCCAATATGTTGTTAAAAACCTACTGCAGTTAATAATATGACTTACAACAATGAGCTTTCCAGCATTTTCTGGCCTCTTTGCAATTTCAATCGCAGCAGCAGCAGCAGCACCGGATGATATCCCCACCTGCAATACATGTTAATCGTAAATCAAAATAGAAAAGATGGAACAATGGAAGCAACCAAAGGAAACCAGAATACCGAAGATTGTAAAATTCATGACTGAATCAATAGCATGCTAAAAGAACCAAAAGAAGTTCTTGTTCAAACAGTTCATTCACGGTTGTGGACTAACCAGCAAACCTTCTTTCAATGCAAGCTGCTTAGCAGTTTCTATAGCTTCTTCACTTGATATCTGCAAAGCCGTAGAAAGATTGGTTTAGCTCTCAAAATATAAACTTGCAGCTTGGAAGGAAAGTTTTCAATTTCACAAAATTAATGAAAAAAGTGGCACTGCATATAACTTCAATATCATCATGAGCATACTCATATAAGTCTTGCGATGAAATTAAAAGCTCAAACAATGATATTTCCTAGACAGATTATCTTAAGGAGGATAATCAAAGCCCCCACCAAAAAAATAAAATAATGGTAGTAAGACTTCAAAAATATCAATCATTACAATTAATAACCTCAAGTCTTCAGTGGAAAATAATGCCGAGTACAAGTTTTTGTGCTTACTTGAATAACTTCGTCAATCAAGTTGACATCTAAAACTCCAGGGATGAAGCCAGCACCAATTCCTTGAATCTTGTGAGGGCCTGAGATATAGAGAAGTACACAGATCATCAATTTTAGAAAAGGAGAATATGAGAAGATGTTGTGAAAATTCTATAGCGAACAGGTTGTACTCAATATCATCAGCTGACGCTAGACTAGTCTGAATCTAGGATTGTCAATTAACACTAATTTTCTAGCATGTGGGTATCTAGGTGACTTTTCTTTTGAAATTCTTAAGGGACAGTTACAGGTCCACTTTACAGACATTTAACTTGGGCCCAAAAAATGAAGTTTATTGAACTCTAAATAATGAGCCTGCAGCCCAGATCAAAGGGGCCAACACCCATGTGCTCGTGACAAGCAGGTTATCATGACTCACCGGGTTTCCCTCCAGACAAAACAGCACTTTCAACTGGTTCTACACCATAGAGCTAAACATAAAAAGCAAGGGGCAAGTCAGCACTATGAGAAATAACGATATAGGTGTTATAAAATAAATAAAAAACTGAATAATTATTATCCTCTAAATTATAACATGCAAAGATACGGCCAACCTTGATGTTTGGGTTTTGCTCTTTGAGGTACTTCCCAGCACCTGTTATTGTACCTCCTGTTCCTATCCCAGAAACAAAGGCATCGGCTTTACCACCAGAGCCTTTCCAGATTTCTGGTCCAGTAGTTTCATAGTGTACCTGAACAGACCAGAAATATCTTTCCAGCAGTCTATCCAGACAGCAAGTTATATTAACAAAAAAACATGGCATAAAATTTTCACCTTTGGGTTGGCATGGTTTTCAAATTGCTGTAGCATATAAGCATTGGGTGTCTTTGCCACTATCTCTTCTGCCTTCTGAACAGCCCCTTTCATGCCTCTGGCTGGATCTGTGAGGACAAGCTCAGCCCCAAATCCTAGAAGAATGGTTCGTCTTTCGAGACTCATTGAAGCAGGCATGGTGATTATTAGTTTGTAACCCTTAGCAGCTGCCATAAATGCCAATCCTATGCCAGTATTGCCACTCGTAGGTTCAATCAGGACACTCTACAACATGAAACAAGAAAAAATTGTCAAATCAAAAGTTTCTCCTTTACCTCATTAATTACACAAACAGAACCAGAGCACTATTAGACCATGAAAAAGTAAAGATAAATACCTATCATTTTAATTTGTTACATTACACATGCAGAGGGAACATCACAAATAAAACTTGAAAGAAGAAATTGCAAATGATTGACTGATATCTAAACCAAGTTGGGGATTGAATGGCAGAAATCATAGCAGATAATAACAGACATTTCTATTTGAGTTTCAAACACAGGCGCCACTTGGATTCAGAAAACCTATTTCACTTGTCTAGATAAGGAAGACATGAATACTAACCTCACCCGGCTTAATGAGACCTTTCTCCTCAGCATCTTTAATCATACTGTATCCGATCCTACAATGAACAAATCATCATTCTAAGTTTTCAACTGATTGCGGGCCATGGAAATTTCTCTTGGAGACCCACTTTGGAATTGACTTCAGCTTACATATAAGTCCAACTTCACAACAATAACACTGAACAAAGCAGTCTCATGAAAAAAATCCCAATCAAACAATTGCAGTGTGTGCAACTGATAAATATTCCAATCAGAATTAGTTAAACCTGTCTTTGACACTAGAGCAGGGTTCCATCATCTCCAGCTTAGCAGCAATTTTTGCTACACAGCCATCTACAACATGGTTGAGATACACCAATGGTGTTTTACCAATTAACTGTATAACAATCACAATGTATAAACACATTCAATTAGCAAAATATCATATAATATTCAGATACCAAAAGGGTTAAACATTATGAAACTAAATGGGGTACAACTTACTTCAGTGACATCCTTTGCAATCCCAGAATTCTCCTCCCCCATTTTTATCAGTCAACTGTTAAGAAAATGAAGAGTATCAGCAATAATCAATACGTAAAATTCAAAATAAGTCAGCTTTCAAAGAACAACTAAAACAAATACCAAGATTATTTATTTATTTATTTTAAAAGTAAAAAAAAGAAAAAAAGCAGTAACTATTGTGTGTGACTCTGAACTTTATAAACACTCCAAAAACTGAGTTGACCTTCTTCTGTTTTTGTTTTTCCTTTCTGGAGACGAGCAAGTGAGCAATAGGAGATTTAACACTTCAAAGTTTTAGTTTAATTTCTTTCCTCCGTTTTCTCAGCAGCCAAACAGCTTATGACTTCACATCAGCAACCATCTCAATAACCAATTCCATATCCACGATCATGATAGAACAATCAAATGAAAAAGAAAATTGCATATTTTAGAGCTTACGACTTCACATCAGCAACCATCTCAGTAAGCAATCCCATATCCACGATCATGACACAACAATCAAATGAAAAAGGAAACTGCATGTTTCAAGAATCTAAAGATTTTGTCTTTTAAAAAATAAAAGAAATTGATTGAAAAAAAAAGTTACAAACATATTAAATCATGCAAGAAGAACAAGAAAGTATGAAGTGAATCAAACCTGCTTTAGACTCCCGGCAATGCAAAGAGCTGAAAGAAATATAATACTGAAAAGAAATGAAAGAGAGTTTTGGAAGCTTACCACCAGCTTGACTTGGAAGTTGAGACTTTAAAGGATGGCCAGGATCTGAGCTCAGAGCTGAAGGAACACAAATGACAACAGTGGGAGAGTTGCGGAGATTTGAAGAAATTTCAGCTGGCGTTACGTCTGTGGAGCCTTTTTATTTTTCCGTATTATCATTGTCATCCGCCGGCTTCTTCTCCAAAAATAAAAAACAACGGCATATTACATATTTTCCTCTGTTTTTCTTTTTATTTGTCTATGAACTGTTTTTTATTTTTTATTTTCTAAAAGTTACAACTTAATATTGTTATAGTGGTTTTTTCTTTTAAATTAATATTAAGAAAGGGACATAAAAATAAATTATAAATATTCTTACTTTTATGGTGCCAATAACAATTATTCATCAAATTATTTATTTATATTCCGCCGTAGAGGCACTTGATCATGTGCATCATGAGCAGCCTCGATTGGTTCTATTTCTAATATAAAATACAATATATGATTATATAACTCGGATTGGAAATTGATTGTGCATAATCTTTGGGATTTCCCCATCCCCCATTTCACATGGGAATAAAAGAGCATACTAGACATAATGATACATTGATACTAGTCATAAAATAATGAGCATACTAGACATAATGATTTAGTTTTATCCTTTGAGCATGATTTTATTGCATCATGTTCCCCATTCCCCAGTGTGAGAGGTACTTTTATCATTCATTTCCATTTGTTTTTATATAAATGATATTATATTTTTAAGGGAATTTGAACTCGGGTGCGGAGTGGGGAGTACATTCATTTTGGTCAACTTGACTAAGCCCATATCTACATCCATTTCCTTTTTAAAAAAAATAAAAAAAATAAAAATAACACTTCTTAATTTGTTGTATTGCACGACAGGTGTGTTGACAAATTTGCCACAATGGTGAATAAGTTGAGATAGAACTTTGGAATTTTTATTGACCAAAACAAAGAAATTTGGAATTATTTGTTATTGATAATTACGGTATGTGGAATATCACATTTGAATATTTCAACAACGGATGGAGACATATTATCGCGTCTGGTTGAAAGATCAAAGGCTCAAATCAGATGTAGCAATAAATTTTTTAAAAATACTTCGACAGACAAAAATAAAAATATAAAAATATTGAACCAGTCGATAATGAGTTTGATAGTTACAATAATGCTCTGCAATAATCAATCCATTATTGGATGTGGAAATTTGACATATGAAACCATCAAATTTTGCATTTAAAAAAAACTTTTGACTCAAAATTGTATATAAATATTTATGCGCTATAAAAACAAAACAATAAATATATGTGCACAAAAATATGCGAAAACTCTGAGACAGGAAATTTTCGTCTGGCCCGACCCAAAGGAACTACGCCTGTAAACTCGCGGTATTTTTGGGCCTAATTTTGAAGTATCGGAATCTTTAAAGAACTAGGCCTGTAAATATTTTGAAGTCTTTTTGGGGCTGCTTGTTTGGGCCCTTAATTTGAGTCTTGATTTTGATGCTGTTTAATTGGATATGGGTTCTTTTTTTTATTGAGAAAATTGGATATGTTTCTATGCGTTTTGTAACATTTACTGTTGATATTTTCTGGGCGTAGCTCTGATTTATGCGGCCATTTTTGTGTGGGTAAAATAGAGGGCAAAGTCGAAACCAAAGAGACTGCACATAAACAAATCTAGGCCTCAAGAGACCATTCTTATCATCGTCTAAAATAGATTGCATCTCATCAGGAGGAGAAGAAAGCTCATGATAACCCAAAGCCTTATGATGACCCATCTTAGCTAGAAAATCAGCAACAAAATTGGTCTCCCTATAGACATGAAGAATGCTGCAATTTCACTGGCTTTCCAAAAACTCTCTGCACTTGGTAAGCGACACAGACATAGAATGAGAGTCCACCCATTCTCCATTAATCATATCAACAACAAGAGCATAATCAGAATTCACAATTATCTGACGCAAACCCAGCTATCAAGCAAGTTTAAGACCATAATATAAGGCCCAAGTTTCAGCCACAAGGACCTCACCATGACCAAGATTAGCAGAAAATCCTGCTATCAAGATACCATCAGAATTCCTAATTATACCTCCTGCATCAATGCACCTAGAGTCACTCACTCTAGAACCATCAATATTAAGCTCAAATAAGCCATAAGGAGGAGGTTGCCGAGCAAGAAATATCTGAGTTTGATTGGTAGCCTTCTTAAAAAGGTTATTAGCCTTATCCCACTCCAGAAGATACTCGAAAATATTCTGATTATGACGACAAGACATATGAAAATGAGGCTCAAAGATAGAACAACACCTCCATTTCCAAATGAACCAACAAGCAACAACAAAAATATTACACCACTTAAAATTCCTTATATGCTCAGCATTATAACATAAATTTTCCTTCAACCAACTATCATAATCAGAGAAAAAGAAATTGATAAACCCTTCAGGTAAATAGAAAGATCTCCAAGGCGTAAGAACACGAGGACATGAAATAAAGAGATGTTGCAAAGACTCCTCATGATAATGACAGAGAGGACAAGAATGGTCTATAGAAAGAAGCCTTCTTACTCTCTGCAAATTGGTTAAGATCTTTTTTTTGCGTGAGGAGCCAAGTGAACACTTTAACACGAGCTATGCGGCCATTTTTTCGACCCAAAATAAAATAACATAAACTCATATTTATTTGTTGGTTCCTAATAAGTTTATTTTTTATATAATTGACAGCCTAAATGAGTCTAATTTATTTGATAAAAAAGAATCTAATTTATGAAGAGAAAGATTCGAATTTGAGTGCAACGCATATAAACTCATTGTCCCAACCTACTGAGATAGCCTAAATGAATCTAATTGATAAGAAGGGAGATTCGAATTTAAGTGCAACATCTCAAAATCTTATAGTTAAGAGTCAGTAAGGGCTTGGATGACTTCCTTAGGTCATCAACTGAAACTACTGATGCTTACTCATATGCTGGCCGATTCAGTTAAATTTAATTTCATACAAACTCAATATTTTAGCCGATTGGTCTAACCACGTATGTAATTTACCTTATTAATCGAAGGATCTATCCCATTAATCTATAAATTTGCAAATAAAATTTTTGTTTGCTCAAGATTAATAAACCAAAAAAAAAAAAAAAAAAAAAAAAAAACCAGAAAAAAAAAAACAAAAAAATTTTTTTTTTTTTCAAAAAAAAAAACACACAACTTTCAAATCAAAGACATGTAAATGTAAAAGAATTCCTTAGAAAATCCAAAAATAAATAAAGGCAATTTTGTCCATTTTGGCTTCTTTTACAAAATTTATCTCTTCTTTGTGTTTTTCCAAAGACTCCCATTTATTTTGGGTCGAGATATAATAGGCGTAGGAAATCCCTAGCTCTGCCTAGTGCCAACACGAGCAAAGTACAACACCTCATTTCAGCAAAAATAAATGCGTACAACCATCCTCAGCATCCAAACACTCCCACCTCTTGCCTCTTGGGTATTGGCCTCACGGTGAGGGCATTTTCGTCACAATACCATTTTCCATATTAGCCACCAGAAAGTTCCGTACAAGCAGATCTCCAATAACCTTTTCTCTTTCTTTCTGTGTTTAAATTATTAACTCGTTCAGTCCCGTCCGATCTCCGACCTCGCCAAAACGACACCGAGTTCATGGGCGTTCCTGCGTTTTACCGCTGGCTAGCGGATCGGTACCCACTGTCCATCGCCGACGTGGTGGAGGAACAGCCTAGGGAGGGCCCCAATGGCGTGCCTCTACCGATCGACGTTTCCAGACCAAACCCTAATGGTTATGAGTTCGACAACTTGTACCTCGACATGAACGGCATTATACATCCCTGTTTTCATCCCGATGGCAAGGTTTTCCAATCTTTTCCCTCGACAATTTCCATTATTTTTATTTATTTCTATATATTTTATTGTTAACGGTTGATTTTGGTGCTATCAGAGATAGAATTTAGGTGTATTTCTTGTTAATGGAAATATTTTGTTCAAAATCATTGGTTTGGTGACGCTAGCTTTGCTTCTAAGTTACTTCAACAATTTCCACATTTTTTTCCAGTCTGAGAGAATTTAGTTAATTGTTGGTGTGTTTGTGTTTGATGATTGAAATGATTGAGTTTTGGTAATCTTAGAGATAACCTTTAGTCCTTAGTTATGATTATTTGGATTTATGAATGATAGAAAATGTACATGGTATGCTAAACTGAGCTCATTAATAACGCATATAAATGTATATGTATTTATGTGGCTTGATAATGCTTGAATTTGATTCCCTTTTCTTGTGGGAAATATGAGATTCTGTTGTTTATAACTCATATGTTGACTTAAATATTACGTTGGACGAAGTTGGATAAAAGTTATCAATTTATGTTCTTTAATTTACCCGTCGATGATGAAATGCCTTTTCTTAAAGTTGTGCCCTCAGGACATGTTTTGTTTGTGCAGCCTGCTCCTGCTACCTATCATGATGTATTCAGTTCAATATTTGATTACATTGACCATCTATTCTCATTGGTTCGCCCAAGAAAGCTTCTTTTTATGGCAATTGGTAAGGTTTATCTTAGATCTGTCAAGTGTCATCTATAATAACTTTCTTTGCCCTAAATTCAGTACTTCATATATTTTTAATCCTGCAGACGGGGTTGCTCCAAGAGCTAAAATGAATCAGCAACGTACTCGACGTTTCAGAGCTGCAAAAGATGCGGTAAGTAATGCGGCTGAGGCGGTAATATCTTACTTACTGCGCATAATTGGTTCATATTCAGTGAGCCACTGAACTTATTGTTGTCTTTTAAAACATTATGCTCTTTTAGGAAGCCGAAGAGGAAAGACTGAAGAAAGAATTTGAGATGGAGGGGACATATTTGATTCCTAAAGAGAAGCCTGAAACATTAGATTCAAATGTTATTACTCCGGGCACTCAATTTATGGCAGTGCTTTCGGTGGCACTTCAATATTTCATACAAAGTAGGTTAAACCACAACCCTGGTTGGCGATCTACCAAGGTTGGTTTGACATTTTTGTCTGTAGTAATTTTTCATTGCCTCCCTTAGTCCCTTCAAGATCGGATTATTCTTTGCCTACGGAGTAATCCATTCTCTATATTTTTACCATGTACTTCTGGTTTTCAGGGTACTTTGTCTCTCTAAATTTATTTATGGGGCTGCATTGGGTGATTATTTGAAGGTTATTCTGTCTGATTCAAATGTTCCTGGCGAGGGAGAGCACAAAATAATGTCATACATCCGATCGCAGCGCAACCTTCCTGGTTTTGATCCGAACACTCGGCATTGTCTCTATGGTTTGGTAAGTGTTTATTTAAGCCTTTTATGATTCCTACGTTTTCTGTTGTCATTATTCTTTCGTGTTGCATGTCATATGTTCTTTGAAAGGGATGCTTTTTGTATGCCTTTGTTGCGTTACTTAGTTGTTTAGTTGTTAAGTAAGCATTTGGATCATCATAATCAGGATGCAGATCTAATTATGCTGGCTTTAGCTACACATGAGGTTCACTTCTCAATATTAAGAGAGGTAAGTTCTTTTCTTCAGAACATTCTTAAGTTTAAATTGTTTATTGCAAGCAGTTGATCTTGTAGATTATTTACTACGATTGCACAGGTGATTACTCTTCCAGGTCAACAAGAAAAATGTTTTCTTTGTGGGCAAGTTGGTCATCTGGCAGCCGAGTGTCGTGGTAAACTTGATGATTATGGAAATGTGGTAGATGAAACCCCAATTCACAAGAAGAAATATCAGGTTGGAGAAGTGGCATCCTGCCTCTCGTTGATACCATTTCTGAATTCCTCTCATATCAATCTCATATTATTTCTAAGCTGACATTTTGTTTGTGCAGTTCCTCAACTTATGGGTATTGCGCGAATACTTGCAATATGAGCTGGAGATTCCTAATCCTCCTTTTCAGATTAACTTTGAAAAGATAGTGGATGATTTTGTGTTTATGTGTTTTTTTGTTGGCAATGATTTTCTTCCACATATGCCGACATTGGAGATAAGGGAGGTATGTTATTGTGGCAGGCAGGCTGTTGCTTTAATCTTCTGAAGTTATCCATTTCTAGGGTTTTAAAAACTAATATTATTATGGTTTCATCCTTGTTTTTTACAACTAAAATGTAGCTTTTACTTTATCAAACCATAAGATTTGTTGCACTGGTCCTTTTGTTTGGTTTTCACTTTGCTTTCTTTTTTTTGATGAAATTGTGAACTTTTTACCTGTCTCAGGGTGCTATTAATTTATTGATGCATATTTATAGAAGGGAGTTTACTGCTATGGGTGGTTATCTTACTGATGCGGGTGAGGTAAATCATTCTCGTTTACATGTCTGTTAAACTTGTACCTCATTGCTTTTGCCATAAATGCTTTCTGAAGAGTCAATCACAATTTTCATTCTATGATGTTTGTAATACGTGTTATGCATTTATGTTGATTCTGAAGAGTCAGTCACAATTTTCATTCTTATGAAAAAAATTCTATGATGTTTGTAATGGGTGTTGTGCATTTATGTTGTTTCTCTTGGTTTTTATATTTGTAAGTATCAAATAGATGAATATTAATAGCAAGAGAGAAGATCTAAAATGCACCCGTGGATGGAGATTAAATGAATGTCATTGCTGTCATTGTCTGTCATTGCTGTCATTGCCACATTAACAATATTGGGATCATCTCTATTGTAATGTAGGAGACTGGTGCGACTAACTGCTTATTATCGATCTAATGCATTAGCTCACTTTAATAATACCTCAACTCCAATGAATGTAAGGCCCTTTTGAATTGTGGATGACTGCAGTATTGAGTTGGATATAATGTGCCTGATATTGAGACACAATTATAAAAGGAATAACAATAAGGAGTATAACATGATTATTACTATTAGCCATAGAGTCTCTTTTTTTTGTTGGTTCTATGTAAAATATCTAATTTAAGATATCTCTGCCACTCCATCTCTCTTTAAAAATGTGTATGTTTATTCTGTTATTGCATTTATTTGTTTAAATTTGTTTCTATGTGGGACTTGCTTATAACATAGTAATCTTTGCAATTTATTATAGCAAAAAGCACTTTTCCCCTTTTATTAGTATTGTTTTTGTTGGCAAAAAGCTCCTGCTTTCATTTTTGAAGTTCTATGATTGGCGATTGTAGGATAGTTTATTTTAGTCAATATTGAAACTATCTATTTCAGTGGATGTACTTACGTATTTAAGTTTTTATTACAGGTATTGTTAGACAGAGTAGAGCATTTTATTCAATCTGTTGCTGTTTTTGAACGCCAAATCTTTCAAAAGCGGGTTCGGATTCAGCAGGTATTCCACATCATCTGACTGAACATGTATTATCAGTTCTTTTGTTTCTCAGCCTTCTGGAGCATCATATGAAACACATGGATTTCAATTTAAGCATGATAAATAATTTATTCTTTTCACTGGGAAGTTGCTGCTTTCATCCGTTAGTTTGCTACTCCAAGTCAGCACCTTGTAGTGAAGACTGATATTCTAGTGTACTTTTCATTTGGTGATTATTTGACTATAATGGAATTCCAGTGGTCTTAACATTTCCCCTTATTAGGGGTGAGATGTTTGGTTAAAAAAAATTGAAAACTTTTCTATGAGATGCATACTATGATGGTAGTTTTATAGGCATGTCCAGCAGGAGACAATTTATAGGTATATGCTCTTGTTGCATGAGCATTAGGTCTATCCGTATGATACTCAACTTTGCTGACTAGAGAATATGGATATGATGACATATCATAGATATGTAGAGACCTTTTTGTTGTTTCCGGGCTTCATTTGGATCCCTTTGACAGAAATGTTAGGCCACTCATGTTCAGTACTGCTAATTTCCCTGCATGATATGTGAACCAAAGGTTTTTAGGCCCTTGTTTTTCCAACCATATTTTAACACATCAAACTTAATTTTTATTTTGGGGGTTATATTGTGGGATTATAGGTTACTGCATCTTTGCTGCTGCTGGTATCTAGAAGTAGTTTACTCCTTCAATCAATGATAAACAAGCATGAATTTTTCTTTATGCTGATGATGTTTATATTGCAGGCTATAGAGAATAATGAAGAGATGAGAAATAGATCTAGAAGAGAATCTTCTGCAGAGCTACCGGCTCCAGTGGTCGACAAGGTCTCTGATTTAACTGCAACTATGTGATTACATTTTTGTATAACACAGTGATAAAGAACTTAGCCTTTTTTGTGCCAGCTATATATGTTAACTCATTTCACTGTGATGTTATGAAGTGACTGCAAAAGCTTTTTACAAACTCGACAGGATAGTTAGTTCTCTTTGGACAACTAAGACTTTTTAGTGTCCCTTCTCGTCCCATGGAAAATTTTCAAAACCAAAAAATTCACTCTCTCAAGCACCCTTTAATTTACCGTGTCTTTTAGAGAGGTCGCACATCTTCCCATTGTGAAGAGAGGTCTTGGGCTCAACTCATAAAGGAGTTCGTAGTTGAATCCCAAAGGGTTGCTGAGAACCCTCGTGTAGCACAGCCTTTAAGGAACTTGTCAGTGTTAACCTACCATCAGCAATTCTTGAAATGTTTAGTAATTAAGTTTTGGTTTTAATGTGTATTACAGTTTTTCTTCAGATTTAGCTATGATGTCTTTCCTGAAAGCTAGTAATGTCTATTTTGTTAACTCTAGCGGTTTTTCGTTATATGAATTTTAGCAGAGGGCGAATTTGGTAAGAATTGACTTTTTCATTGCTTTAGGATGCTTTGGTTTGTTCGAAATTTTCATTAACCACTTATACTTTCGGGCTGTCCTTGATTCATGGAAGTCCTGTAAATTGGGCAGGTGAAGTAGAGTAATTAAAGGATCTATGGTGTTGATATTTCTGAATACGTTGAGAACTGATTTTTATTTTGTTTCTCAGGTTAAATTGGGGGAGCCTGGATATATAGAGAGGTACTATGCTGAGAAATTTCAAGTAACAAATCCCGAGGAGATTGATAAAGTTAAAAAGGACTTAGTAAGTTCCCTCATGCGAGCCATTTCTGTTCATATTATTTTGGTAGTGAATATGGTTGTATATTGACTCAGTTATGTTGTTGAGGGTGTTCCAAATCAAAAGCTTTTCATCATCTTTTCGCTGTTGTTTCTGCCTAGTTCGATGATACAAGTATTAAATTACTCCATGCTAAAATGTGTACATTTCTTTGCAGGTTTTAAAATATGTAGAAGGCTTATGTTGGGTCTGCCGATATTACTACCAAGGGGTCTGCTCATGGCAATGGTTAGTTCGACTTCATTGGAAAATGTTTTGCTTCCTTTTATCTACTTTGTCTCATCTTATTGCTTAGATACGATATTGTATATTTGTGTATCTACTTTGTCTCATCTTATTGCTTAGATATGATATTGTATATTTGTGTATATATACTATATATACAGACGTATATATATATATATTCTTGTATCCTGCCGTTAGGATGATTTCCACCTACCCCTTAAGGATGTCCCACTAAAATATCTAAATCTCATATGCTTATCAGAATAGGTAATTGAACTCCATACGGCAGACATGTTACATGTACCGTCTCCGTTTTCCAAGTAACAGGATACTGCGCGTCTGCCTTATGATCCAAATTAGCTCAGGCCAGACAGAGTGAAGGACTTTTGACTCAAGTTACCCTTTTAGTGGGACCAGTTGAGCTATTGGGGCTGTTCAACCTGATCAATGTACCATTCAACCGTTGGTTCATTATGGATCCTGGTATTGTGTTATGATTTTCAAATACAGATATTTTTAGGTAACCTTGGTCTTTTGACCTGGAGGCCAAAGGACAGGTCCTTTCGCCTGTTGCATGTCATAAAACTATGGTATCTTTCCTTTTGTTATAAAACAAAAGGTAAATGCTATCAAACCACTAGGTTGTTGGACCATTATGGTGTTGAACTTGAACATGGATCCTATACTTTAAGCCATATCCGTCTAAGTTAGTTTACATAAGGTATCTGTTGGTATGCTATAATGATCTGGAGGTCTGACTGCTCTACCTGAAAGTTGGATGGTGAACCGATGAGCAAACTCGTTGACTGGGTTGGTGTCCAGTTCATTTTCAATAACTGTGCTTGTATCTGTTTGTTTCAGGTACTACCCGTATCATTATGCCCCTTTTGCTTCTGATCTAAAAGATTTAGATGAATTAGAAATAACATTTTTCTTGGGAGAGCCATTTAAACCCTTTGATCAGCTCATGGGAACCTTACCGGCTGCAAGGTTTCTCTCTCTCTCTCTTTCTCTGGCATTAAATTCATTCGAAAAACTTTTCATTATGTATTTATTGAAGAAGAAAATCTTTCTTATTATTCATGCTAGATGTGGTAATGGTAAACTTGGTGTTCCCATGTTACAGCTCTAGTGCTCTTCCGGAAAAATACAGAAAGTTGATGACTGATCCATCATCACCAATCTATAATTTCTATCCTTCTGGTAAACTTGATTAGTTGTACATTAGTTGTACGAATCATTATATCTTGTGAAGTTATATCCTCATCAATAATTTCTTTTCAAATCTCTCTCTCCAGATTTTGAGATTGACATGAATGGCAAGCGCTTTGCATGGCAGGTACGTTCTTGTGTAGTACTGTAATTTTATTTATTTTTTCATTCATCGAACTTCTTTTTTCTTTTTGGGGGTAAACTAATTGTAATTGTATCACTTTATGTGTGTGTTTGGAAGTCAGGGTGTTGCCAAATTGCCATTCATTGATGAGAAGAAATTGCTTGCTCAGACAAGGAGGCTTGAAAGCACTTTAACGGTCTGGAACATCGTGTATTTGTACTTCCCTAATATTTTTTGCTTTAGTTATACATGATGTTCACATGTTTGATTGAAAGCTTTAAACCCCTTACAAGGCTTTAGTATACCAATTGTTTAAACAAAGCTTTAAGCTTTTGGGAAATTATAGTAGGTTGCAAGAGTTGTATTTTAGTTAAGAGCACAATCATGGTTTTTTGGGGAAAAATATACCACTAGGTAGGCTGAATTCTCTGGTTCTGAGAATAAAACGATATATATATATATATATATATATCATGCCAATATCTTCGAGCTTTGGACAAAAAGTGTTGAAATTATTGGCTATATTTTTTTTGTTAGAAATGGCTTATATGGTGGGCTGGGGAAGTTGTTGATCTTTGGGATAATGGATTCCATTTGGGTCAGATTAGAGTTAAAGATCTTGTATGGTGGGCTGCGATGAGCCTATTACTTATCTTACCATTGGACTGGTTAGGGCATCTTCTAACTGCAATAACTAAGATGAAGTGGCCTTCCATTTCTACATTTTGAGTGCTTATACTCTATTTGTTATATGCAGGAGGAAGAGCAGGCTCGGAATAGTGTGATGCTTGATTTGCTTTATGTCTATCCTTCTCATCCTTTGGCGGCACAAATTAATTTGTACTACCAACTATATTATCAGTCGCCCCCTCATGAAAGATTTTTATGGGCGATAGACACAATTGCTAGGTTGGTTAATTTGGTAGCTGTTTATGTGGACTTATGGTCTAATTGTCATTGTTAAAACTCACTAGAGTTATTACCATTGCTTTGTGTTTACCTTTTCAGTGGTGGAATGAATGGATACCTTTGGTTATCCGAGAGAAATGGTGTTCGATACGTAATCCCTTCCCCTGTTCGTGGTTATCCGAACATTGATTATAACCAAGTCTTGTAAGTAGAGCCCCTACTGTTGTCGTCTGATTATTTAAAGAGGATAGTGTTTCATAGTGGGCAGTTTTTATGTGCAGAAATGTTACCTATCTTAATCCCTCAGCTCATAAACACATCCCAGAACCTCCCCAGGGTGTGGTCATGCCCAAAAAGGTATGTGATTCTCTTTACAATTCTTTCTCAAGTCTTACGGAGTTTTTATTCATTACTACATGGCATGGTGTGTGTGGTATGCTTCCTGTTAGAGTTTGGGACATATCAGGTTTCTGTTGTTGGTCTTTTGTTGCTTCACTTTTTGTATAAATGAAGAGTATTATGTTTTTGTGGTCATTGTGAATTTTCTAATATGACAATGTCTAGAAGATATTGCTAAAACTTAGCTTGTCATTTCTTTTGGTGTCAAAGAACATAACAGCTATACATGAGTTGGGCTTTTCTTAAAATCACTCCGTGTTGATTTATCTTGAAGCCGCTCCCTTCATATGTTTTCAAGAAGGGATAATTTTATGTTTTTGTAGATGCTAAGACGGTTGGGAAATACGCTTCAATTGCCTGTGCCTCCTTTCTTTTTGTTCTATTATTTTTTATATTACTGTAAATCATTGGGTATGATTGAAATTTTCTTTTAATTGTCTTCAGGTTGTAAAACCTATGGACATCAAACCAGCCCCTGCATTATGGCATGAAGACAATGGTCGACGCCAGCAAGGCAGAGAGAGGTAAATATTCTAACTTTGATATGGCAAAATTCTTATTGTCTTTCTTTTTCAGGTTTTAGCTTACAAGATTTTAAATAAAGAATACGTGAGAATCTTAATCTTATAATTGCAGCCGTTGGACTCTGGATAGTGGTTTCTAATTGTGGTGCGTTTGTTTTAACAGGCCACAAGTACCTGGAGCAATTGCTGGACCTATGTTGGGAGAAGCAGCTCATCGACTTGTCAAGAACACACTTAATATTAGATCTAATAATTCAGCTTCGGGATTTTGGGACCAACAACCACTACGTAATTTTCCAGGAAACTATCCAGTCAATAGACCAAGACCAGCTGGGCCCTCTGGGTATGAAAGGGGCTTCCGTGAAGAAGCAAAGTACGGAAACTCCTTCACTCCTCAGGGCATCATGGCTAGGCCTAGATTTCCCTCCTCAAATGGTATGCAGGGTGACAGACAGAGTTTTAGAGCTCAAGAAAGAGTCCAATATCAAGAACAGAGTTTTAGGACACAAGAAAGAGCACAATATCAAGAACAGTACCACAGCTTGAGAACTGGGATGTCTAGTTTAACAATGGAAGAAAATGTGAGAACCAGGTCTCCTGCCAGGCAACCAGGGATGCCAAATTCAGGGTACTCCACAAACCCACAACACCAGTTTGCGCAGGATGCTCTTCCTTCGCCGCCTCCCAAGTGGATTAACAAAGAATCAACTGCAAACGGTGGGTTATATAATAGGCAACAGGAAACTGGATTTGGTGGAGCATATGAGCAGCCGCCAGTCAAGAAGGTGTATCAGGTTAAGACTCGTGCTCCCCAGGATATGTCGGATGCTAGAGACCAGACTGGGAGTGATTCATCTGGATTTGTGTGATGTCGCCTGGTTCTTTGTAAGAGGTGCCCCCCACACAGAATACTAAACTTATCTTACCTTGTGGCCGAGGGGAGGGCACTAAGACTAGCTTCACGAGTGTATATGTAGCACATGGCAACAAGAGGTTGACACTGTGGTTCGATGCTAAAGTGATTCGGCTTGCCCGATTTGCGCAGCCAGTAGCACGGGAACCACAGAAGGATGGTTTGTTACATTAATACGGATGAGATTTCTGCAGAAACTCTCAACAGATTGTACTAACTGGCCATGGCGGTGCACATATCATTAACTATTTGTTGGGTAGTTTGTAATATATGCGTACATAGTTGCGTTCTGTTGTTATAGTTTCATAGGAAGAATTTGAGAAGGCGCTTACCCAATCAGAAATAGGGTTGATATGTATCATTAGGATGTAGGGGATTATGTCATCCAAAAGGAATTTGTTTCTTTTCCCTTCAGGAATGTTCGCTGTATCTGTTAGTGTTTTCTTTTTGTACCTGGATGTTTATTTTAAATTATGATATGATATCACAACAGGGTTTTCTTTTTATTTATTTATTTTCCAGAATCTCAACAGGGTTAGTTAAATGGAAGGGGATTTGGTGCTTTGCTCGTGTATTTTTGTTATCGTTTTCTTTACTTTCTCAAAAGATTACTTATGCGATGTGTACGAGATATGGCCATTTGAAAGTAATAGGAAATGATGACAAAGCTATATCAAATTAACAACCCTGTTTTGGGCATTGTACAAATAAAATGGAATGAGATTAGTTGATTGTTCAAAACTCACTGCATTTTCATAAGTACCAAGACACTGAAGAACAATATGTTTACCCCAAGAAGTCTAAAGCTTTGACATTATTATACAACTGTAGAAGAGGTTCTTTTCACATCACAACGTTTGAAATGCTATGTCCATGGGATGGAACCTATGCTACAATTCAACACACAAACCTCCTCAGAAACAAAAGATACTATACCTCTCTGGTTACTCAAGTGACTTAAATTATTATATTTTCACATATGAAAGAAAAAGGGCTCATATCATACCTCCCTCCCATTCATCATTGCAGAAAATAGCCAGACAAGAAAAGCACAAAGAAAAGGAACAAGCCCCCAAATATGAGCACAGCCTTCTGGCCAGAAGTGAGTGCATTTACACCAAGCCCAAACTGCTGGTTCTGAGCAAACCCAGCTATTTCCACACTCTTACTCACAAAGAAGCTCTGTGCAGCCCCACATGTTGGGCACCTCCAATCCTCAGGTAACTTATCAAATTGCAATCCTGGTGGGATTGGATATGATGGGTCTCCCACTGCCTCATCATATTTGTACCCACAAGACCTGCATTCATATATCCCTGTATTCAAAACTGCAAACTTCTCTTCAAGCCTACGCTTATCAAATGTTGTTTCTGCTGCTGCTTCTTGTTCTGGCTCTGGCTCTATATAGGAGGTGGGAGGAGGAGAAGCAGGCTCATCTGATGTTGGTTTATCTTCTTTAGAGACATCAATGGAGTTTGTAGTCAAATTGTTTGGTTTATGGGGCTTGTGTGTAAGTGAGAGTGAAATGCTTGGGATCTTGGGAAGGAGAGTTGGGTTTGTGAATTGGGTTTTGGGTTTTGGATGAGAATGTTGAGAAAAAGAGGTTGAGAGGTGGAAAGAGAAGGTGGGTCTTGTTGTTGCACAAGCCATGAATGTTGATAGTGGAGATGGATGTGACTTAGTGCCTCTTTGTTATTCAAAGAAGCACAAAGTGTACAGAGAAAATGGTTTAATGGGAAAGTTGTTGTTTTTCAAGTTATGCGTGTGCATCTGGGTGGAGGAGAAAGCTCACAAAGGAAAGGGATCCATTGAAGGGCATATGCTTGCTTTGAAACAGGGAGTTGGATAAGGTGGGGAAGGTGTGCGATTGTAAGTGGATTCAAGAAAATGGGCTGGGTTTTGGGTTTCAGTCCAACTACCTAAAAACCCAAACACTCAAATACCCAAAACCCAACAAAACAATAAAGTAACAATAAAGTTTTCACTACCGAGATTCCAAAATTTGAAAGTTGACTGGGCAAAACTTACAAACTAAACTCAATGGTATGAGTGGATTTCGTTAATAAACATATAAAGATACACATAGTCAGAGGGACGTAATGATCTTTACCCTCAAATGCATGCCTATCAATAAATAAAAGTTTAACAAATACCAAAACTAAAACTAGACAATGTAATCTAGGATCACACTTAAATAATTAATATTAAAATCTTGATCATCATCGACTCTTTGATTCTCAACTCTTTCAACTTGAGGCTCAACAATGGGAGATTCAGGAATATTTTGTCAAGAAGATAAATCAAACATTTCAACAATACCAACAACAAATCAAACATTTCAACAAAATTCCTAAAATCAAAGCCCTAATTAATTGTAACAAAATCCCTAAATTTTAATTCATTCTTAGAATACTCAATTTCAACATAAAGATACATAAGAAAATTAAAAAGGAGAGAATGAGAAGAATAAATTATAATTGTTGCTAGCAAGAGGAGAAGTTGATGTCTATATGTCAAGAGAAGTAGAGGAGAAGTTGTTATAGAGAGGAGGAGAAGTTGCTGTAGACAAGACAAGAGGAGAGAAGCTGCCCATTCAATAAATTTTAAGGAAAAATTTGGGTTGGGTAGCTTGACGTAGAAACGTCCTTGCCATTGACTGAGAAAGGAACTTGAAACTCAATTGGTTAAGAGCATTTATACCTACACTTAAGGTTTTGTGTTCGAATTGTTTAGACAGTTGAATAAATCACAAAATTAATGCATGTCTAAATTATTCTAGGAATTGTTATTTAGTTTAACAATTACTCTATCAAATAAAGAAGAGCAAATTTATCTATCCTATTCAACCCAAAAGAATTTTACAAACTATATGAATTGAAAACAATTTTTACTCAGTTCCCTTGGACCGCAATTCATCCAAAGCTGCCTTAACCTGATGCTGCACCAAATCCAACCTTTTAGAGTATGCCTCCAGCTCCAAAATCTGCTGCTTCCTCCACTTCTCATGCGCCACCTCAACCCCACTTCCAAATTTACTTAAACTCAGAGGTAATGGATTCATAGCCACCCCCTCAATTATCAACCCTGGTATATCATTCTTCATATTATCATCCACATTATTGTTATTATTATTAATATCGAACGACGACGTCGTTCCATTATCATTCAAAACATCATGAGCCTTATTGTTCTCATCATACGTTGTTGTTAGCCTAGAATGCGACCACGCGTGTCTCATCTGTGGCCGTTCATGATCTGCAACGCTGCTGCTACCCACGTTGTCCTCCTCCTTTTTCACCTTAACATTGTTGCAAACACTAACGTACTTAGAATTTGGCTCATAATCTTCATGCGAATCTACGACGTTCCAAATCTTGTTGGAAAGTTCAAAAACGACCTTGTCGTGCGGGTTTTTGAAGCGGAACTCTTTGCCAGTCGAGTTCATGCCGTTCATTTTGTTTACGACGTTGTGGTACTTCTTCTTCAATCTCCTCAGCTTCTCGACCATTTGGACCCTGTTACATTCCAGCTTTAACTTGGGCTTAACTTCTTCGTAAAACGACGCCGTGTCCTTCACGGTGGTTCTAATTTGTCCCCTGCTGTAGTAGTCGTCGAGCAAACTCCGCAACAACTCCAGCTCGTCCTCCTTGCTCCACACCCTTTTACGACGCCGTTTCTTGTTTTCCTCGGGTGCTTCCGACGTCAATGCTGGCTCGTATGTGCGATCAATGCGTCGTCGTTTTGCACTGGGTTCGGAGACTGTGAAGGTGTAGTCGGAGGTGGAGTTGGAGTTTTGATCCTCCTCCTGCGGTTCGTATGAGACGTCGTCGTTTTCATGATCATCAATATTGTCATTTTGTGATTTTGGGACGTTGTCGGGGACATCATTAATTCCTCCCAAATCTTCAATGTCGTTGTTGTCGTCGGATTCATACTCTGAGGAAGAAGAAGAAGAGGAAGACGAAGAAGAAGATAGGATCCAACTAAGCAATGGCGGCCATGCCATTATTTTTATTTTTATTTTTTAAAAATTAAAAGAGACTAGACCCTGCAGAGAGCAGACCAAACCAGAGAGAGGTTGTTCCGGATGTTCTCCTTGAGTGGCTTGGTCTGCGTCTGAGAGAAATTGCAGTTTCGGGTTTGGAGTTCGTAAATTTTAGGTTAAGCTAGATAATTATTAATGATTAAGAAGAATTTGTTGATAAGAATAGGATAATTATAAATGATAGTAACGTTATAGAGGAATGGATGTGAATGGAGGAACAATAATGGTGGCCACTATCCGATAATGGCTCATGTCCCCTGCCTTGCATGCCCATTACCTAATTTTTTACGTGAGGATTGTATTCACCTCCCAAAACAAGTACTGCTCTCAACAAACTCTCAGTTTAATTCTGTCAATAATTATCGTTGATGTGATTAGAAAATTCTAGATAAACAATTTTCATTTTTTTTAAAATCATGTATTTTTTATATGATCTCGTCACGCAAAATTTTGTTTATATTTCTACCAACTAAGATATTGTACAGTTCTAGTGACACATAACACCTACGGCAATCCATTTTGTTTATGGCATCATCCATTTAAATATATTCAATATTTGTGTTAGTAGTTGACTATAGTCACTTGCTCAATGAATTATACCACCCAGCTCTCAACAGGAGCACCATCACCACACCACACCATACAATTTGGGCCAAGTCATATACACTGTGCTTGTTTATGATTTGAATTTGGTAGGTGCTGGCTCGAAACATGTAGTGAACAAGCTCATGTAATAGGGTTTAGACGATCAAATAGGTGACTTGACTTACAATATTTTTGTTTTGTTTTTTCTATGGGGGGTCCCAAATATTGGACCGAATTTTTCATCTTATAATGGATGAAGATGATTGTAAAACAATTCAAGAAGCCATTTTCCATGAAGTTTCATTGCTTGCAGCCCAACCCATTTTATTCATTTTTCTTTTAAATGCGAGTTACCTCTTGTTACCTCTTCTTTGTGTTGAGACGGTACACTCTGACTTTATTCATATAGTTCATTTCAAATTTCTTTCCCTTTATAGCTAATTCACTCTTTTTTTTTAAGGACCTTTTTTTATTGAGAATGACGATAATATATTAAACTCACATAAACTATAAAAATGTTAAAACTTGAACTTAAAATCTTATCTAAATAAGTAAATGCTTTAAACCACTATACTAATAGATCTTTTGCAAGCTAATTCATTCTAATTTGTTTCGATGGTTAGGGGTGTTTGAAATCGGTGGATTTAATAAAATTTTGATTTATTTAAATGACTTGGCAGATTTGGATTGGATCCTTAAATTCAAAAACTGATATAATTGGATACGACGACGGATTTGCCAATATTTAGGAATTGATTAGTTGGAAGTGGCGTGGGTGTGTGGGTCCTCCTCTCTTTCTCTCTCTCTCTCTCTCTCTCACGACACCAAACTAAAACCAAACCAAAGAAAGCACCACCACCAAGTCAGGTCCACCCTTTCATTTCATCAACACTCCAACACGCAACGCATAAAAATAAGGCTAACCAAAACCTCGTGAACCAACCCAACTCCAACCCCACTTGCCTCCTTCCCTCTCTCTCGGCCTAACCCCAACTACTTCTCTCTCTCTCTCTCTCTCTCTCTCTCTTCCTGTTCTTCCTTTTCCACCAAAACACTTTGCTAACCTCACCCCCCAATTTTTACCAAAATTCCCATTCTAGCTGAGGAATGGCCCCAGACCAAGACGACGCCGTTCTGCCCGAAGGGGACCTCTCCTCCTCCTCCCAAGACGACGAGGAAGAAGACGACGTCGTCGACGACGACGAGGAAGAAGATGACGTCGACGATGACGACGACGTCCTAAATGATGATGTCATCAACTCTGCCTCCCCTTCCACCTCTTCTGCCGGCGCCACCGACTCTCTCCCCGTCGCCATCGCTACTCCCACCGTCACCGTCGCCCTGCCCGCTCGGGACCCCCCTCCCTTGGCTCTGGCCACTACAACCTCCACCGCAACTACCGTAATCGCCAACGACGCCGTATTGTCCTCCGATCCCAAACGACACGCCGTTCTGTCCCCCCAGCCCGAAGAGAAGAAGCCGGCGGCCCTCGACGACTCTCGGAGACTCTTCCAGAGGCTGTGGACCGACGAGGACGAGATCGAGCTCTTGCAAGGCTTCCTCGACTACACGACGATGCGAGGCAACAAAGGCTCGCACCACGGCCAAAACGACACCGCCTTGTTCTACGACCAGATCAAGTCCAAGCTCCAGCTTGACTTCAACAAGAACCAGCTCGTCGAGAAGCTCCGGAGGCTGAAGAAGAAGTACCGGAACGTCCTCAACAAAATCGCCAGCGGCAAAGAGGTTAGCTTCAAGAGCCCTCACGATCAAGCCACGTTCGAGATCTCCCGCAAGATCTGGAGCAATATCGGCCGTATCGGCCCTGAAGATAACGCCTTGGACGATGAAGATCCGAGCCCTAACCCTAACAATCCCAATTTCAACAATTATGAGATTAAGAACGAGGAGGCTGCTGGTTTCGCCGGCGATAAGAAGTCCACGCCGAGATCGCGCAAGCGCTCGCGAACGCAGCTTAGAGCCGAAGAAAAACCGCCACCGTCCCGTGGAGGTTTCGTTGAGCCATCGCTTGTAATTAAAGATAATAACAACAGCATTAATAACAGTAACCATGGTGGTGGTGGTGGTAATAGTTGCAGCAATTGTAATGTTCACGGGTTGATTGAGGAGACGGTGAAGAGTTGTTTGTCTCCGTTGTTCAAGGAATTGTTGAGTAGTGCAATGGGCGGCGGGTCGGCTAGAGGGTTCGGAGGGTTGTCATTGAATCCTATTCCATTGAGCTTTGGCGGGCCGTCCATGAATTTGAATTTTGGTGGTGGTGAAGGGGCAGATGAGAAGTGGAGGAAGCAGCAGATATTGGAGTTGGAGGTATACTCCAAGCGATTGGAGTTGGTTCAAAATCAGATAAAAGTTGCATTGGAGGAGTTACGATCCAGCCGAGGCTGATGAATCCATGGGAGCTTCAGATTGAAGGTTGGCATTTCTAGTAAGTTGTGGGACTTTCCTCGAATCTTGAATTTTTTGTTCATATAAATTTGCTTGGTCTCTGATCAAATGGTTGATGGGTTGATGGTGCAGCTGGTGTTCGCATTTTCGAATTTTCGTCTTTGTTGGTTTCATAGAACAGTTGTTGAATAATTATTTTCTGATGATTGTTTAGTCTTTTGATAGTTTTGTTCATACGCTTTAGACGTGTAGATAGTTGATGAAATAATTTATAGATGAGAAAATTTTCGTTTCCTTACTGTATCTTGATGTACATTATATGTTTTTTGACAAAAAATTGATCAAGTCAGCCACTTTATTTATTGCGTTTGATTGTAATCATGTGTTAAAAATCTGGAGATTTCATTTACGGGATTGTGAGACTCGTAATTGCAGGTAGAAGGAATTTAGAAATCACCGTATGTTCTAAAGGCCTGAACTTCTTGGTCATGATTTGCCCTCCCATTTACCCTTCTAATCTAGAGTTGTTTTTTTTTAAATTTTTGGGTGAGTTGATCATTTAGATTTTTCCTAGCTTATGGAAAGCTGATGAATGTTCGTTTCATACCTACTTGGGCTAAGCCACTAGATATTGGTGTATATCAGTTTTGACATGTTTGATGTTTTTTGGTTTGATGTTTAAGGTTTTTATTTGTTCCTTTCTTTTTCAAGACCTTGAAAGCTATGATTTGTAAGTAAGACAGCAAGTCATACACTTGAGACAAGATCTGTCTTCAAACTTGCACATAGTTATTATTTAATTCAAGATTTTACTTTACTAGCTATGGTTATTTTGCGTTCAACAACGATTAGAACTACACATTTGTACAGGCAGGCATATGCATATATACTTGTGTTAGTTACGTAGAGTAAATTCATAAAAGACGTGTACGTATATGTCTATAGCTAGACATGAACTAGCTTTGTCTATGCATATGTGTTTTAGACGAAATTATGTATTCCAAAGGATTTTCTTTGATGTTTGAAATTCATTCAAAGTTGAGCAGATCTCATACACTGAGTCACCATGAATTGAATTCATATTTTATGCCACCCGGAGTCCAAGACTTTGGCCTTGCCTTGAGCAGTTATATGTGGATTGTGAGTCTTGGAATCACTTAAAGTATTAGGGTTTTAGCTTAAGTCCTCAGTAATCTGACCAATTTCTGTTGGAGATTAGAATGTGGTGTTGATATTCATGCAGTGTAATAGGAGTTGCCATTTTGTGATGGTTAGTTGAGGAGTGTGTTAGATGCATCCGGGGTTAGAGATCGGCTATACTTTACTCCTGCAAAAATACTAAAAGTTGGCCCGTATTATTACTGTATAGGCTGAACTTTTCCCACCTGGACCAAAATAAGATAAGTTCGATAGGGCCTCAACAATCATATTGGGCCGTAAATGGGGTGTTCGAAATGTAACAGTAAATCGCTCATTTCGGTTCAAAATGGGCCCATAGGTCGGGCCAATAATGTTAAAAGAGGCCCAGAAGTTGGCTCCAAAATTGAAACAGGCCCCGGGTTTCTGCCCATTAACGCGAAAGCCTATAAAAGACAAAGTAAGCCCACTGAATCGCCCACAAATGACAAAATAGGCCCACCGAAAAGCTCATAAACAACAAAATAGGCCCAATGAAAGACCTATAAACGACAAAATAGGCCCAATGGAATCCCGTAACCCACAAAATGGGCCCAACCAGAAAAGACAAAATGGCCCAATAAAGCACAATAAACGACAAAATAGGCCCAATGAAGGCCACATAAAGACAAAATAGGCCCAATGGGGTCCCCATAAAAGACAAAAAAAGCCCACCGAAAAGACAGTAAAGGACAAAATAGCAAAATGGAGTCACATAAACGACAAAATAGGCCCAATGCAGTTCCACAAACGACAAAATAGGCCCAATGATGGCCAATAAACGACAAATTAGGCCCAATAGAGGCCCATAAAAGACAAAATAGGCCCATGGAGTCCACAGAAACGACAAAATAGCCCACCAATAAGATAACAAACGACAAATTAGGCCCACCAGAATTACAATAAAACAGGCCCAGTAAAGGCCATAACAGACAAAAAAGGCCCAAAGAAGATCAATAAACGACAAAAAAGGCCCAGAGAAAAGACAATAAACGACAAAAAAACCCAGCGAAAAGACAATAGCGGACAAAATAGGCCCAAGGAACATAAACGACAAAATAGGCTAATTGAAGGATCCTTAAAAGACAGGATAAGCCCATCAAAAGGAAACTAAACGACAAACAGGCGCAATGAAGAAGCAAATGTACAAAATAGGCCCATAAAAGATAAAATAGCCCAACTGAAGGGTCCATAAACAACAAGCGCACACTATATTCTGAATACTGGGCTTATGTCCTGGACATTGGTCTGCACTTATAAGGTATTGGGCCTATGTCCTGGACATTGGCCTGCATTATATCTGCTCAGTTGTTGGGTCCAAACTTTAAATCTGCCATATAATTAGACTTTAAATTCTGGAAATTCGGCCGTTATTGGGACCCAAATGCACAATTAAAGGGCCTCAGTTCTCAGTCATTGGACCAAAACTACATGCACTGGGGCGCAGTAAATGTGACACAAGAGGTAATTTGAGTTTAAGGCGGTATGTACTAAATTTTGTATAAGTTAGGGGAACATGTATTATTTATTTTTCTATACACTAACAACATATTGCATTCTTGTCTTATTGGAACAAATCTTATGAGACAATTATTGCCTTTACTAAAAATCCTTCTGCAATTTTGAAATGTACTAATGATAATAAGGGTCCACACTAAAGAGCTGCACAGCTCAATACCATCATACTTACATGCATCATCAACCAAAGGGATTGGAGCGCAGGTACTAATATTTCGGAGTGATGCATTTCAGTTAAAAGACCCAAAGTAGCAAAATCTTGAGTAAAAATAGCACTTGGGTCGGTTATTGCGCTTAAAATAGGCCATCCAGAGGGGAGGTTCTTGCTTTGTCAGTGCTTGGTGGTCTGAAGACCTCCGAAAATCGAAGCTGATACCACAGTTAACCCATCGCGGGCTCTGAAACAAAAATCATACTTGATATTTGCTAAATTATTGCGAAATCATTGGCCCCAAAATTGACCAGAGAGAGCTTCAAACTGCAACAACATAACATTGACCAAAAAACATACAATTAATTAATTCACTGTTAATATGAGGAAGAATGAAATGAAAGGCGTAGAAGATCTCCAGGGTAAATTTTAATGATTTAAAAATCCCCACGAAATAATCATGGCGAGGAAGGCAAGCAAACAAACACAATATGAGAGAGAGACATGCTGCTGTCTGTATTACACATTTTAAAAGAGATTCATGAATAACAGAAATAACGTTCAATTCAAATCCTAAACCTAATATAATTACAAAGAAACTCTTCCGCTTGAAAACTGAAAACAATGTTAGAAAAGAAAACAGTCCTCATGTATTGTTTTTCAGGTTCCATCAACAAAACAGTCCATCAAAGGTTTAATTGAAACCACAGATTCTAAAGTCCAAATAAAAACATGAACAAAATTGAAATTTCTCCTATTCAAATATCATGGAATTAGGTTGGTTCAAATTAGTCAAAAACTTAAGATCCAAATAATAAAAAGTCAACATCATGCCTCCATTGTAAAATTGGGGCTTTAACATTTTCTTTTTGTCCAAACAAACATGAAAAGAAATCTTGCATTAACTGAAGAGAGAGAGAGAGAGAGAGAGCGACTATCTTTCTTCCATTATTTCACACAAGTATAAATAAAGAAAGCAACATGGAATAAAAATAATAATACAGATTAAGAGAAAAATCGAGTATCCACTGCCTCATCCGCCATAAACCTCGAACTCAATTAGGGTTTGAGGTCAATAATTTTCAAATCAGATTCTAAGGAATAAGATGAAATGTTTACCTTCTCCGGCGCAGCATGGCTCCGTAAGCTTTAGTTGAGTTAAACATTTGCAAATCGGTCTGTGATTAAGCCTAATATTTTCAATAAGGGCCAAGAAGTCGTTCTAGGATCCTTTCTTCTAGGGTCGAGGCGGTTATCGGGCCGAAGGTTGTCAAACTGCGCTGGCTGGGGTTTGACAAAAATTTCAGGAAGGCCATTAACGTTGCAAGGTCTTGCAGTCTGGTCTGGGTTATTTTCACACATTCACAAAAGCTCACGAGATTTCACAGAAGCACTCGTTGCCACTTTCACTACAGCTTGACCAGAGCTTCAAACTGCAACAACATTGAGCAAAAAAACATACACTTAATTCACTGTTAATAGGAGGAAGAATGAAATGAAAGGGGTAGAAGATCTCCACAGTAAATTTTATTGATTGCAGAAGCTTACCAATTAATTTAGGCCGGAGACTACTCATTGGTCTGCAGGTAGATTTATCCACCAGCAGCAGCAAATGATTAGAAAATCCGCAAGAACGTATGAGTGACATGCTGCTGTCTGTATCACACATTTTTAAAAAGAGTCAAACGAATAACAGAAATAACGTTCAATTCAAACCCTAAACCTAATATAATTACAAAGAAACTCTTCCATTCGAAAACAGAAAACAACGTTAGAAAACAAAACTCTAGTAGTACCTCTTCTTCTTCTAACCAAAATTTCCCACGTATTGTTTTTCATGTTCCATAAACAAAATTGCCCATCAAAAGTTCAATTGAAACCACAGATTGCAAAGTCCAAGTCAATACATGGACGAAATTGAAAATTTTCCTATTCAAATATCATGGAATTAGCCAGGTTTATATTAGTAAAAAATTTAAGATCCATTTTATAAAATTGGGGCTTTAACGTTTTCTTTCTGTCCAAACTGACATGAAAAGAAATCATGCGACGAACTGAACGGAGAGAGAGACTATCTTTCTTCCATTATTTCACGCAAAAATAAATAAAGAAATCAACAAGGAATAGAAATAATAATACACATTAAGAGAAAAAT